CAGTAAATTATAGACATATGTTGAGGATTTTATAATTCATTTTTAACACTAGTCACTCGTCCCGGCTTTGCACGTTCAATAATTGAAGGGTTCTCAATTTTGTACATATATGTATAACTAATAACTAGGAGATCTTTGGGGGAGGCCTATGTCCAGCAGTGGACGTGTTCCGGGCTGCGATGATGATGTGTAACTAGCTATGTCAAAGGTTTTACCTGCGTAAAATTAATAGCATATGTATTCAAAATTCAAAATATCTCTATTCATGTAGGTCTTTTATTTATTTATTTATTTATTTGCTTTGAATAGGTTACATTGTTCTTACAAATTAATTTACAGTTTCATATTCAGCTGCATTTTGAGCATGCAAATTTAAATTCATGTTAATATAAGTTGTTAAATGTTAACAACCAATTGTCATAATTATTTATATTGTTAAATGTCCAACATTAAGTAATAATAAGTATGTCCAAAATTAAAATTAAATGTAATAATAACAATTTATATCATTTATAGGAAATAATCCATGTTTGAAGTTGAGCTTCATGTATTTAGCACTGAGGATATGTTGTAGTAGTCGATCATCGTTGAAAATACTCCTGCATATTGTAAAAGCATTTATCTATTAAACATTTCTTAAATGCTAACTTAAAGGGCTTCATAGGCAGTTCTTTAAATTTTGGTATATTATTGTATATTTGTATTACAGACTCTTATGATATGTCAAATCTCGGATGATTTTCTTTTACGCAATAACTACTGAATAGATTTAAATGAAACTTTACAATAATATAGTTTATACAACAGAATAATAATGGTCTGTTCTGGTTACGAACACTGATTAGACTATTTGCTTTTGCAATAGCATATGCTAGTGGTCACTCTATTCTCCCAAATTTGAATTTAAATGAATCTGTATTATTGTAAACATGTACAACATTTATTTGAAAAGAATACCAGCTGAGTTTCTTGTCAGTTCTTCTCATCTCGAAATCACTCCGAACTGACGGTAGATTTGACATATCATAAGAGTCTGTAATAGACCTACGTGAATAAAGATATTTTGAATTTTGAATTTAAATTTTAATATTCTTAGGAGCGATGGTTTTTATCTCTTCGGGAAATAGTGTAAACTTTCCAAAGGAGATATTTCGTTTATGCATGAGTGGGCTACAACCACGTAGGATGTGTAGTGGCGTTTCCTCTTCAGTTTGGCAAAATCTGCATATTTTATGCTTAAACATGGGTTTACCATATATTAATACAATAAAATACCTTAGGTTGATGCATTCCCATTCAGTTACCTAATGAATGGTCACGTTACCCATTTCTCCGTTTGGTCCTTATACCCTTAGTAAACAGTCAACAACAGCACACGTGGAGTGTCGTATATCACACCTACCTCCAATACTCTTAGCGGAAATTTCTCAAGAATTCAATATATACAATAACAATTTGTTTGTTTGTCATGCTTTCACGATAAAACTACTGAACGGATTTAAATGAAATTTGGTACACAGATAGTCTAGACCAGTGATTGCCAAAGTGGTCTATATCGACCCTCAGGGGTCTATGACAAACTGCAAGGGTCTACGACAGTGGTCATTTTGTTGTTTTTACTTTACGTTTTTAACACTAAACTTTTACTACAGTTAGAAATTTACAAAATATCGATACCAGGTAAGAATGGAGGGTCTACCCAAAACTGAAAAATATGGCAAGGGGTCTACGACACTAAAAAGTTTGGGAACCTCTGGTTTAGACTATCTGTGTACCAAATTTTATTTAAGATTCTATTTAATTCTAAAATAAATAAATCTACAATCATTGCATAGTATAAAATAAAGCCGCTGTCGCAATCTGTCCGTCCCTATGCTTGAATCTTTAAAACTACGCAACGGATTTTGAAGAGATTTTTTTTAATAGATAGGTTCTAGATAGGTTTATATATATATATACATGTACACGCGTGCGAAGTCGGGGCGTGTGGCTAGTTATGTGTAAATCTAGAATTTAATTCTAGACTCTTAGACCCTGAGAAAGGACGTAGGCTACTTTTAATGCCACAAAAGGGTTGTAAGGAGTTGAAAGGTATGAATTTATCGTAATTTTTTTTCTTTCATGAATTATATAGGCGCGTCACCTACCTGTACTAAGGTAGGTGACGCGTAGGGAATGCAATCCCGATCCTGCGGGATCCCGATCTCGCGAGATCTCGTGTAATTTTTCGGGATCAATCCCGACGCATCATATGACGAGATCCCGTTCGAGATTAACGGGATTGGGCGGCAGTGAAAAAGAAATAAAAAATATAATCACACGATTATATCGTAAAGAACCAAACCAAGCAGATATTAATACGGCAGTACTAATCGAAGATGACTTGCCTCTTTCAATGATTGCAGAAGATTTGAATTTACGTGCTGCACAAACTAATAAATCGCTTTAAGAGGAATTAGAAGAAACTCTGCGAGCTTCTAAAAGTCCTTTTGCACGTATATCCACGTCCACGAGCTTAGACAAATTAGAATCTACCATTAAAAAAGAAATGGATTTGTTTGAGTGTGGAGGAACAAGGGGGCGATTTTTGCAGTTTGCATATAATTGCTTCGCCACGCTGTTGCCAACCAGCGTTGAGTCGGAGAGGGCATTCTCAGCAGCGGACATTGCAACGGACATTAGATGCCGTTTAGCAGATGAAACTATTAATACCCATTGTTTTTTAAGGAGTCATTTTCAAAATCACTCTTTTTCCTAATTCCCTTGAAATAAGCTTATTGTTTTGATTACCTAATTTACCTACGTTAATTTCCTTACAACCTGATTATTATTTAGTTGGTAAGATTAAAGAATAAAGGTTTTTATTTTCTTTCGAGTAATATGTTATTTTAGTTAACCTCACTATCACAAACAAGCAGTTATTAGCTTTTTCAGTCATCTGAATTCAACATTTTTTTTTAATTTAGACGGGATCCCGAAAATTCCGGGATCCCGCGGGATTGATATTTCTAATCCCGCGGGATCCCGAATTTGCAATCTCGAGTCGGGATTGCATTCCCTAGTGACGCGTTTGTCGATGTCACTGAACCGATCATCATGAAATTTTGTACACATGTTATTGAAGGTATTAGAATGAACATAGGATACTTTTTATTAAAAAAAAATATATTTTTTTATAAAAAACAAAAAAATAAAATATCAACCTTTTGCTACTTCAGTAGCCAGTAATGAAGTTATGTGAGCGAAGCCGCGGGTAAAAGCTAATGTATTATATTGAACAATGTACATTATTACGTTGCGTCGTTTATTTAATGCCATCATCTGCATCTTATCCCATTTATTTGTGGTCGTCGTAATATGTTTTTCTCTTCCATTCATCTCTGTTCGCAGTCATCTCGTTATTTACTCCCTTTCGTACCATATCATCTTTCACACAGTCCATCCATCTCTTTTTTCGGTCTTCCTCCACCTTTATAACCATCCACATTCATGTAACACTGTCCTTAGGATATGATCTTCATTCCTAATTTTTTACATTCTCCCAAATAAAACGCCTATCCAAATTATATGAGCAATTTCAACATGTCAAAATTTTACGCACTATTTTCTTTATTAACTTGTAATATTAAGTGTATAATATTAATAGTAATATATTTTTATTATTCAAAAATATGTTATTTTATTAATTATATTTGAATGCTTCGTCCGATGGCCCCTGTGGAGGATGATAAGGGGAAAATGATAAGAGAAGGTCGTTAGCGCATCATAACGAATTAATCAGTTGTTAACCACATGGTTACAGTGGCGACCGCGTGGAGGTCTACCGTTTAAAGTATGATTAGTAGCAAATAATTAGCAATAATCGTTATAACATTAACATAATTATAACACAATTACAAGTTCTGCTTAGTTAGGGTTGTCACTAGATGGCGTTACATGATGTATGGTTTACGGATTACTTATATAGGTTGTCAATAAATAAATATAATTGTAATAAGTATAAATAAAGCTTATAATTACTTACATTAATAATTACATGGTAAATATACAATAAAAAAAGAAAGTATTGTATTTTTTAAATAAATACCATCGTTGAATTAAATTAGAACTTATGAGTTGAACATGAAGAATAAATAGGTGTAAGAATTTGATATTAAACAGTATCTCATTAGTAACATTCAATGAAGTTTGTTAAAAATAGAAAAATATATCTACGTAAGTCCTTATTCAGACATTATTACACATTAGTCGGAAGTGTATGACTATTTCGCAAAATAATTCATTGCCCGGATAGCTCAGTCGGTAGAGCATTGGACTTTTAATCCAAGGGTCCAGGGTTCAAGTCCCTGTTCGGGCGTTCACTTTTTGTTCATTTTATTTATTCTTTTTACGTTTCCTGAAATTAATATATAAAGTAAAAGTAGTTATAATTATATTATGGAGTTTAATTTTTTTTTATTGTTATAAAGAATAATATAAAAAATATTTGTTTTTTTTATTTTTTCTATGGTTATATTATCTCTGCCCGTGGCTATGGAAAAAAAGTAAAATATATAATTTGAGGCAAAGGAAAATAATGTATAATTGATTTATTCATAAGTTATCACAATTCCCCAAGTTACGAGATAACTAAATAACCTGATATACAACAATTAAATTTTATCACTCAATTAAAAACTACCTACACGCCCCGGTTTCGCACGGGTGTACATGTATTATACATATAAACTTTCCTCTTGAATCACTCTATCTATTGCTAAAAACTGCATCCGTTGCGTAGTTTTAAAGATTTAAGCATAAATAGGGACGGATAGACAGCGACAGCGACTTTGTTTTATACTATGTAGTGAAGTCGCATCTGAGTAACGATAACTGTAGCAAATTATAAACAAGTAACACTATATATTTAACTGCATGCAAATTCGCGAAATCTAACCTCAAACCTTGTTTCGCAGACAGTGGACTCGACTCAACTGGCGGCAGTCATTCGGTACCGCGGCGCCGTCCCGACCGGCCGCCTCGCACTGTCACTATACCCCACTATCATGTCTCGAGCGTCCCCTTTTAAAACGTACTTCTAAAAATCTAAATCAATATGACTAAATACAAGTTAAATAATACTGTTCGTTCCGGGTCTGAAGTCACTTTAACTGCGTTCATAATTGGGAATAAGGATGAGAAACATTATAAATTACCAGATCCGAACCAAAATGACAATATGAGCTCGGAATCCAATAGAAACTTGGCCGCGGCGAAAACCTGTCACGTGTGCCCACATTCTTGCGAGTTCCTGCAGCAAAGGGAGAGGATAGAAGCGTCTCTAGTGAAACAGGAGTGTGATAAGTTTGGACTGAATGAACTTAAAGTTGACAAGACAAGTTTGGACAGGAATGTGTGTCTCTGCGAGAAGTACAATGGGGGGTGTAAGTTGTGTCCGAAACCAGGTGTCCCCACTCTGAGTTACGGCCTGGACGGGAAAGAGTCCTGCTTGGCTTGCCACGGAAATCACTACGTAGGTAAGTGGTATAATTTTTTTTTTTTTTAAAGTTATTATTTTTTTTAGGGATTTTTTGTAGGGATTATTATAAATAAAAAAAATATTGTCCTAAATATGATGGACATGTTTAGGGTAGCATTTTTTTTTTGAAGGTTGGGGCTATTGTTAGATGTTAATTTTTTTTGTTAGGGTTATTTTATTATAAAACTAACTGTTCCCGCGACGTTGTCCGCGTGGAATTTAACTTTATTTTTCTAAAATAAAAGTAGCCTAAGTTACTCCTTATTACATCAGCTACCTGCAAAAAGTGTCCCGTCAAAATCGGTCCAGCCATTTCAGGGATTAGCCGGAACAAACAGACAGACAGACAAAAATTGTAAAAAATATTATTTTGGTGTCTGTACCGTATTTATATTCATATGCATGTAGTGAAAAAGGGTTATTTCAATATTACAAACAGACACTCCAATTTTATTGATATATATAGATAATTGGGATACATTTATTTATTAAAGTTTTTGGGCTATTGTCAAATGCTTAGACCTCTAGAACTATACAACCTTCATAGACCTATTTAACTCGCCCTTTTTCAGAGTTCGCTACCTTATGGGACACTAACGAGATCTCGTTAAATTTTTTTTTATATATCGTTATATTCATTTAATGAATCTCCCAAATTTGAATTCAAATGAATCTGTATTATTGTAAACATGTACAACATTTATTTGAAAATAATACGAGCTGAGTTTCTTGTCAGTTCCTCTCATCTCGAAATCATTCCGAACTGACGGTAGATTTAACATATCATAAGAGTCTGTAATAGACCTACATGAATAAAGATCTTTTGATTTTGAATCCGAAATAATAAAATATAGTATTATTATATATACGTAACTTTCTATAAATGTAAGAATTTTTAGATATCTTTGAACATGTTTTTTTGACGTATAATATGTACAAAATCTTAAATGTATAGAAAGTTACGTATAAATAAATACTAAATAAATAATTAACCGGTTAATTAACACAGCGCTATCTAGTCCCACGGTAAGCTAGCTAAAGCTTGTGTTATGGGTACTAGATAACTGATACATATACATAGATTTTTTTTGTAAATACAAACACGTTGAACATAGAAAACACCCAGACCGATACAAACAATCATACTCATGAATACAAATGTTTGTGCCGTGCGAGGAATCGAACCCGCGACCATCGGACGTAAAGTGTGCTGAACCGCTAGACCACCGAAGTCATCTATACATATAAATAAAATTGTAATGTCTGTTTGTAACATTAAAATAAAAGTTTTTTACTACATGCATATGAATATAAATACGGTACATACACCAAAATAACATAATTTACAATTTTTGTCTGTCTGTCTGTTTGTTCCGGCTAATCTCTGAAATGGCTGGACCGATTTTGACGGGACTTTTTTTGGCAAAAAGCTGATGTAATAAGGAGTAACTTAGGCTACTTTTATTTTAGAAAAATTAAGTTAAATTCCACGCGGACGACGTCGCGGGAACAGCTAGTAATCATTACATAGTATAAAACAAAGTCGCTGTCGCTGTCCGTCCCTATGTATGCTTAAATCTTTAAAACTACGCAACGGATTTTGAAGCGTTTAATACTCGTAGATAGAGTGATTATAGAGGAAGGTTTATATGTATAACACACGTACACCCGGACGAAGCAGAGGCGAGTAGCTAGTATATATATACAAAACTAATATTAATAAGTTGTTTCTGTGTTAAAAAGGTTAAATTTCGATATTGTATCGAGTATATTGGTTAAATATTATTACCGAGTCAAACATTTCATAATTAGTTCCACTCTGATAGCTGTCGCTTGTGTCAAAACGTTACTACACAACAATCAGTGGTTTCAGAAGCATACAAACTGAAAAGTTAATAATACAGTAATATTATTATATAACTAGTATTTACATAACCTAATTGTACAACTAAGAACTAAAATAAAAAGCTTAAAAAAAAAAAAATAGAATATGATAACTAAAATATATTATTAAAAGTGGTCCCTTTAGGCAACGTTCCGAAGATACTGGCAGCGTTCCCTCTTTGAATAGCTAGACTAATTCTTTGTCCAAGGTAGCTGCCAGCTCTTCGGTCTTCTGTGATGTCGACTAATATTATATTAAAGAATATTATATATAACATTCTCGTGTCACAATTACCATACTCCTCCGAAACAGCTTGACCGATTTTTATAAAATTTTATATGCATATTCAGTAGGTCTGAGAATCGGCTACTATCTATTTTACATACTCGTAAGTGATAAGGTTTGTCCAACACTAACATTCATTTTATATATTTAAAAAAAACACATACAACCCTAAATTTTCACCCTTCTATCATCAACCTCTATTTTTTAATAGCGATTTTAATTTGTATGGCAAAACAACATTTGCAAGGTCAGCTGGTATTTATAGAAAATCTTAAAATCCATAGCGCTGACAATATTATCTGATTACACTAAGAATGAGTGCGTAGCGATTTCTATGTTGATATAATAATCTCAGGACAATTCACACAGCGCCATCTAGTCCCAAGTTAAGCTAGCTAAAACTTGTGTTATGGGTACTAGATAACAGATAAATATATATATATATATATATATATAAATATCCCCTTGGGCACTTTGTGGCTCAGACGTGCCGTATAGGTAGTTTTTTGTTGATCCTTTTTCACTTGTTGATCCGGAGGCCTTTTGTTGATCTAATGCCAGCTGACGATATATAAATGTTGATCCGTTTTGAGCCACAACTGTCACGACGAGTAATAATAATAATTAAGCGATTTATACACGATTTTATACAAATCCACCTTTTTGGCATTCGACCACTTCTTGATCCAATTCAAACGGGCCAATCAGGGTGCAGCATTTGCCAAGGGCTTCCTCATTGGCACGTTTGGACTACTACATTATGGCTACAGTAACTTAATAATGTCTAGCTAGTATTTCAAGAATAATAGTCTATCTAATCTAAATATTTATAGAAATCAGTCTAGAGGAACGTGACTCCAGATCAAACCTCAATACTTGTTATTTTTTGGACGGGAATTTTTCCTTTAGTAACAACGTTACTGAGCGAATGAAGAGAAGACGTAACGGCGGATCCAGGGGGGAGCGTCATGGAGGTCTTGGGAGTCATGGGGGCGTCATGACTCTCCCCCCCTTACCCCAGGACTTAGGTAGACCACTAATTGAACTAAAAAATAATGAAACAGCAAATTTTTTTGCACGATCGGAGTGTTGGTGCAGTAGTATTAATTATAATTAAACATTGTTACTTAAAATATAACAGTTAAAGTACTATAACACTAAAAGCAAAATAGGTATTTTCAAAATACTTTTTCAAAATAAATTACCCTTTGAGTTTTTGTCCAAACCTCAGATATTTTATTTATTTTAGGTATATCAATCATTACATAGTATAGTATAGTATAAAACAAAGTCGCTGTCGCATCTAACAAGTACATAAATAAAGAAAGAAGACTTTTTGGCTCTGAATATATTTCAAAAATCAATTACTTGTGTTAATCAATTTATATACTCTTTCTTATTTCATAGTACTTGTTTTGATCCGAGTATATACAGATACCGTAACGGTCTATTAATTATGAATTTATTATACCTAACCTAGATATTCTATTTTGACGAAACTCCGTGTAGTAGTAGTATCCGATAAGGGTATGCGAACCCTAAGTATTATTTCAAAATGACCAGTAACTTTGAATTTTGAATTTTGATTTTAATAAGCCTTTGAATCAACTTACCAAACGGACGCTCAAGGTTCGATTCCCGCCACCGATTTTTTTTGTTATTTTTTTTTGTCTTTATTCTAATTTTAAATTAACTATTTTAATAATTAAATGAATTTAATCGAACAAAACGTTGTTAAGTATTCAATTAATTTTAATTTACATTACCTATTGTACTTTCTAAATTGTAAAGCAGCTAACAATTATAGTAAGATCTTATAAATAACTAACACAACAAGTAAAATATTTTAAATGTATTTTCTTTATTATTACAAATATTTTTTATGCATAATATAATAGTTAATATCACTTACAATTAATTTAATACTTAACAACGATTTTATCGATTAAATTCATTTAAATATAACCCATAAATGTATAAATATTATATATAAATAAATACATAATGATCTGATAATCAAATTATAAGTACAGTCTCAAATTGAAAGTAAGAAAAACAGAAAATATAGAGAGAACTATAGGGATATAACAGAAAGATGTGAAAAATGGAGAAGGACAGTAAAAAAGTTACAAATTTAAATAATGTTGCCGCAATTTCTGTTTAAATGAATTTATTACATTATTATATATATTAGGCATACGACTAGCCTTATGACTGTTACTTTTTTTTTAATCTATACATCTATACATGTAAATAAAATTGGAGTGTCTGTTTGCAATATTGAAATAACCGTTTTTACTACTTGCATATGAATATAAATACGGTACATACACCAAAATAACATATTTTACAAGTTTTGTCTGTCTGTCTGTCTGTTTGTTCCGGCTAATCTCTGAAATAGCTGGACCGATTTTGACGGGACTTTTTTTGGCAAGTAGCTGATGTAATAAGGATTAACTTACGCTACTGTTATTTTAGAAAAATAAAATAAAATTTCACGCGGACGAAGTCGCTGGGGCCAGCTAGTCTATAGATATACCGAGATTTAATATTTAAGTTGCTATTATGTTGTTGACAAAATTTTACTGTAATGTTACTATTACGTTATCCTACACAATTTGTATTATTTTGGATGAAAAAATAAATAAATAAATAATAATCTATACATATAAATAAAATTGGAGTGTCTGTTTGTAATATTGAAATAACCGTTTTTTACTACATGCATATGAATATATATAAGGTACATATACCAAAATAACAATTTTTATAATTTTTGTCTGTCTGTCTGTCGGTCTGTTTGTTCCGGCTAATCTCTGAAATGGCTG